CAAATTTATTGCGTTCGCTTGCACAGCCTGGTAGAGCAAGCAGTTTTTGGAAGCTCCGAGCACTCTAAAGCTGGGCTGTTTCTGACAGCTCCGTGTCCGTGCGTGTGTTGCGGGTCTGTGTATCCCAGCACACAGAGGGGTGTGCGCTCTGTCCTTGCAGCCTCCCACATCTGGGATCCCTCATTGCAGACAACGGGTGGGCACAATCCGTAGCATTTTGAAAGGGCTCGCTTCGGGCAGAAGTGGGGCGTTCTCCTTTGTGAAAGCTGAAGTTAAGAAACGCTGGGGAAATGCCCGTGTTGTGGTTTCACTGTTCTTGCCTGCGTCAACTTCTCCTTTTTCAGTTATTTGAAGAATACTTCACACAAGAAAAAGGTGAAGTTGCTGGCAATCAGTTTTTGGCAGTCGGTAAAGGGTGTTCTGGCTGGGGCAGTGGTTCCTCGGGCTCTTGAGTGAGCAGCTCTGGTGGTGGGGGCAGTGGTTCCTCTGCTTCCGAGTGCAGTTCCTGGTATTTGCCGAGGCCGGAGCTGTGCCCCTCAGCGGGGTCCTGGAGCCATTCGGGTGGAGGGGGCAGATCCAGGGGCTCAGGGGAAGGCGCTGAGTGAGGAGCCGGGTCGGGAGCTGGAGATGGGGCCGTGGTGGGAGCAGGAGCAGCGGCGGCAGAGCCCTCTTGGGCTGGTGGAGGCAGCTGGGTGCCCTCGTCGCCGGTGCTGCCGTGGGGTGGTTCCTCTGGTGCAATGGGATCGTTCAGTAAGATTGGGTCTTGTTTCAGTTTCCAAGGCAACATAAATAAAACCGATGAGCGTTTGGTGGCCTGGTCAGAGTCCATGAAGACGTCTGGCGTTTCTCCGTCTGCAAACGGAGAGGGACCTGCCCAATTTGAGTCAGCGAGAACCGGCCTCTTGCAGCATTTCCACAGGACGATTGTGATAATAGCCATTATCATAGTACCCAGAATGATGCCAATTATCAGCGCTGCTATCCAGCCTCCGTCGCTGGGCTCTGCCTCTGCCGTGGGGAGCTCGGGCAGCGTGGCGGCAGCCAGCGCTCTTCTGGCTTTGTGTGAACTGGGACCAGTTGCTTGCCACTGGGACAGAGGAGCTTTGTCTCCCGTTGCGCTCCTGACACCGGGGTTGGCGCTTCCTGTGTCCAGGGACACGTTTTGGGGTGTTGCTGTAGAAAGGGATTTCCAGATTTCCCCGCAGAAAAGCAGCAGCATTGCCTGGTTGCTGCCCATCTTCTGCAGCCCCTCTCAGTCTCCTGTGGCAGGAACGAAACCAAAGACAGCAACTTGAAAACTGCATTTCTTGTACAGCTACGCATTACTGCCACCAGCCCATTTTACGTTAACACCGTAGTAGTGAAAGTAATATTGGACTCTCAGTTTAAAGCCCCATGTCTGTTCCTGTTTGCATAATCAGCAGGTTTGTTGCTGACTTTACAAACAACCGGCAGACTTCCGACATCGTTGATCGCCCTAGGAGAACATCTGGGTTGTTATTATTACCGGTTTTCACCTTACCAGAAAAAGGCCCCAGCAGAGAAGTCCTACGAGTGTTTCAGGATAACATTTCCCAGTCACGTAACGGTCGTGGACCTGGAACCAGACGTGAAGCCCTGGCAGCAGCGTTGCCAGAAAGGCCTGTCACGAGTAAAGGAAATGGTCTTGTTTGATCAGTGCAAGCCGAGACCTGACTTAAAGGCTCTTGGCGCTTCCCTTAAACTTCTGCTTCCTCTTCTTGCCTCTCCTCAGCGGTTAAGGGTAGAGCGTAGTATTTTGTTTTAAAGTTTCCAAGTGGTGATGCTGTCATGGGACGGCATTCTAACAGTAAACGTTTTGTAAATAAACTATAAATGTGGAGTGCTTTTTGTGATGAAGGAGGTCGTGTTAATGTGAAGTTGCTGGCCTGACCTGTTGGTTCTTTCCCCCTGTGCCGTTTGCTGCTCAGGTCTCAGTGTCTCTGTATGAAACAGATCATGAGATACATCCACCACACATTTAAAGCATTTTTAAAGCTGAAGTTACTTTCGTGCGGTTTGTGCTAATTTATTAGTTACTGTAACGCCGGCCACGTGAAACTGTTCCTGTTCAGTATGCGTAACCAGCATGCGTAAATCTTTGTGGGTTTACAAATACGCAGAATTAAATGTCAGAAGCAACAGCGTGAACACCTGGGAGCAGTCAAATAACGCTTCTCGAGAACATTACGAGCTAAACTCGAAGATTTATAACAGGTACTAATGATCCCAGTTAATTATTTTCTGCTCCCCTCTTTTCAAAAGGCAGTCAGACAATACTTACAGAGTTCAGCATAGTTCCTAACAGCATCGAACAGCATCTGTTTGAAACCCTTTTAAGATAGAGACGTTCAACAAGAGCTTTGAATGCTCCCCGAAGTCAGGATGTGCCCAGCGCGGTTCCATCTCAGACCAAGTAATGCAAATGTGAGTCATTTCCGTCTGAAGCTGGTTCTTACCTGCACTCGATCCTCTCTCAAGCAAGCATCGTCCTTGTCCGAAGCCCTGGGACGCCGGCCGCGCGCGGAGGGCGGCAGCGGAAGATGCCTCGTTGGGGCTGGAGGAGGTTTCTGCCGCGCGGGAGGAAGTCACCAGTGCTCGCTGCAGGAAGTGCCAGGAGCAGGGAGAGGTTACCCAGAGCCTTGTCTCGGGGCCTGCGTGCTTGGCCAGCAATCTTGTCAGCTCTCTTGTTTTTATAAAACCGAAATGGTTAGATGTTTGTGCGGATTCCGTACAAGTTCATACTTTTTTGCCCGTCTTTCTTGAACGTAGCGACAGTTACTTCTCTGTGAGTCAACAATTAAGCAAGTTTGGGTTGGATTGAGTCTCGCTGATGTAATTTCAGTGGTGGGTTTGGTGCGCCGTCATGAGCGTTAGTGGAAAAGCAGGGCTGTGTTCGTTAGTGAGTCATAGAGCGGTCTGGTCGCAGGGTGCTGGCTTGCTTGCACATCTCTGTGCGTGTGGTGCCGTGCAAAGGCACCTGCTCCAGCTTCCTTCCTTCTCCTCCCCGTGTTACTGCTCTGCCCGGACACCCTTGGTCCCTGCTGCCATCGCAGGCAGGGCTGTGCTCTCCAAGCCCCTCTTTCCCCCGTCTGTCGTCGTCCGTACCAGTTCGTGTAACCCTGATGACTTTCTTGTGTCTCCGTGAGCCTTTTTGCCTTGAAGGGCCTGGCAAAAAGAAACCCACGCAGATAATTGCGCTGCAGCATTTTACAGGTGTCTTCTGCAGCTTCTTCGCCTCCTCCTGCTTTTCCTCTTGTCCCCTCTTCTGCTTGCACCAGTTCTCTTTTTCAGACCCTCCCTACTCCTGCTGCAAACACCAGTCCTGAGCCCGTGCTCACACAGAGCTCCTGGTTTCTTATCCGAGTCCTTCATCCCATCCCTGTTCTCCTCAGCCCTCGGTCTCCTCCGATCTCTTGCTGCGGTTCCCCCCCATGTACCCCAGGTGTCAGCACTGACCTGTCACGGTTTGCCCTTCTTCTTCTCCTGGCCCTCTCTGCGTGTTTCAGAAGTGCCTGACACAACCCCCGTCCTCCCGTCCTGCTGGTGTGGTGTGGTGTGGTGTGTTGCACCTCCTCCCTTTGAGCTCTGAGGTCTGAGCATGTGGTTTATGGCATTCATTTGAATTTGCCCCATAGTCGGGTTTTTGGGTTTTGGTTTTGGGGTTTTTTGGGGTTTTTTTTTTCACTTTGTTTGTTTTCCTCTCCAATGATCTTATTTTCTAATGACTCACAGTTCTGGGCTAAACTTTCAAACTCCTTCCAACCTTATCTTCCTTACTACACAAACCACCTTTGACGGAGGCGGTCGCATGTATTTTTTGGGGATCTTGCGCTCTCACTGCACTTCTATTGCTTCTTCACCTGCCCTTTCAGATGAGTTCCTGGGTGATGCAATGGGACATGAATTGAGGGTTCAGTCTCCTGTCCTGATCCTTTCAAACTCACACAACCACCTCTTGTGTCCCATACGTTCACCGCAGATGCACAGGATGTTTAGGGCTTTGCCACTCTGGGGTTCTCGCAGCTGTAACCACGGTGCAACAGGTCTGCCTTAACCCCAGGAGCTTGACAAAAACCTCTCCTGTTTTCTTAAAACAGCAAAGCTCTGCTGCGGTGTGACAACATACAGACATCTCCCAGAAGTATGGGGAAAATCAGGGGTCTATGGTAACGCAGAAGCTTTAAGTTGTAGTGGCTGTTGAAGGAGTTTTTGGTTTGTTCTCGTTGGTTGAATGAGGACAAAGTGGGGAACGTTTCCGTGACGCAGGAAATCGCAGCTGGTTGTTGGAGAAGACCTTTAGTGTCCTTCAGCAGGTGCTGCAGGAGTTTTCTTTGGAGTGCTTTGATTTAGAGAAACAGCTTCGCATAAGTTATTTAATAACTAATGTTGCTAGTTTATTGGGGATAACAAATCAAAACAGTTCTAACATACAAGACAAACTTCATCAATTCATACACAAAGGCAAAGCATTATAAATATTATTCACATCTCAATCTGCTTCAAAAGCAGTGAAGCTGGTGTGAGAAGTTCCGATGGGAAAACCTGGCAGGGTGTTTTGAGAGAGGCTGACTCCTGATTCAGTGACTGCAGCCAAGCTCTGGTTCCATCAGACAGCCTGGGTGGCACCGTGTGGACTCGCTGTCCTGTCCCGGTTTCCCCCGTGGTGATCTTTGAGAACGGGCACACTGCTGTCCTTTGATTTTTAATTATTTTTGTTAATCCCGTTCCACTATCACCCTGACTTGTGGTCAAAGGAGTAGGACCGGTCCTGACGCTGTTTAGAAAAAGCCATTTAACACAATCATTCCCTTGCAGATCTACAAGTTGCTGCGGCATTTGCACCATCGTGAACAGAAACACCCTAAGATCTTAGTTTAACTCTCCCGTGTTAAAATTCATGTTAATACTTGAAAGATACGGTTTTCCCTCGCATTAATGACATAAAAGAGGCAAAAGATGAGTTTTTACCTGAACACAAATTAAATCTCAACTACAAAATTGGTTAAAACGGGTTTGTGTGACTTTGGTTCTCTGCTTTCCTGTTCCTGACGTGTTTCTTTCGGGAGTTTCTCAGTGGTTTCATCCCCGTGTCTCCCCTGGACCGCGGCGTCTCTCCCTGCTCGCAGCTCCTGCACGAGCAGCTCGGTCCCGGCCGTCTCCGCAGGCATCCTCTGCCACGTCCCCGCTGCCGTGGGCCACAGGCTGTTGGTGGCCAGGATGTCGCCGTTGCTCCTGGGCCTGCGCTTCCCTTGCTTCGTCTTTTTGAGATAGGACATTTTGTTTGCTATCACGACCGTCGACAGAAATAAGAAGGCGCAGGTCAGCACGAGAACTGCAATGATAACGAAGCAAATCAGTAGAAGAGATTTGTTGTCTTCGCATGGTTCTTTTATCGTCGTACTCTTGGGGTTGCTGCTGTTCCCGGGTCCTGCAGGGGCAGAAGGAGCACGTGGGGCAGGGGGGGAGGTTGAATTTTGGGCCGTTGTGGAGGATGAGGATCGCAGAGTACTTGTCTGCCTTTCAAAAGCAGCCGTTCTGCTGCTGAAATTGGTGCTCAGAGGAGGATTTGTGTTGGCTTCTGTCACGGTCTGGCCCATGGGATGCCAGGTGTCGTTCCTAACCCTGGGGTAATCAGTGTGGTTTGCACTCGTTTGCAAACAGAGAGAAAAGATGATCAGGACAGGGAAGGCCGGACGTGGTTTGCTGCGTCTCTCTGTCTCCATCTTCCTGTTCAGTCACCTGCGAAAACACAAATCGTGGCATTAGTTTAGCAAATGTGGGGTCGTGGAGGTTTGAATCGACTTCGCAGGGAATGGTGACCTTTCTGATGAAAAAACTGTGCAGCTTGACCTCATTTTTGAGGATGCGGGAGGAAGAGTTGGAGTGCTTGGCATTCTGAAAACGTCGGTCGTCTCCAACGTGTGTCAGTTTGTGGTTTATGGAGAAAGTACGAAGATTAAAAAAGAACGAGAGGCAAAGAGAGAAAGGGAGGTGTTTCCTGATGAGGGCAGGGGGGGCAGAGGCAGGCGCCATGGTGGCTGCTCCTCCAGCGCTGCCGTGGGACGGCTGCAGGTTCCTGTGCTTTCACACAGGAGAAACGTGTGTAGTGATGGGCTGGGTAACCGTGCTGGTTAAGGTGGTCGAGTGAAAAGCTTCACGGCGTCCCTCAGTTCAAGAAGGACAGGAACTGCTGGAGAGAGTCCAGCACAGGGCTACAAAGATGATCAAGGGAGTGGAGCATCTCCCTTCTGAGGAGCGGCTGAGGGAGCTGGGGCTCTTTAGTTTGCAGAAGAGGAGACTGAGGGGAGACCTCATTCATGGTTATAAATATTTAAAGGGTGAGTGTCACGAGGATGGAGCCAGGCTCTTCTCGGTGACAAACAATGATAGGACAAGGGGTAACGGACACAAACTGGAACACAGGAGGTTCCACTTCAATTGGAGAAGAAACTTCTTCTCAGTGAGGGTGACAGAGCCCTGGCCCAGGCTGCCCAGAGAGGTTGTGGAGTCTCCTTCTCTGCAGACATTCAAAACCCGCCTGGACGCCTTCCTGTGTAACCTCATCTGGGTGTTCCTGCTCCGGCAGGGGGATTGGACTGGAGGAGCTTTGGAGGTCCCTTCCAACCCCTAATGTTCTGTGGTTCTGTGAGTGACAGCAGTGACTTGCTGTAGTAGTTTGGGTTTCCTCGCACGGCCGCCTGGAGCGTTTCAGAAATGCCTCGGGAAATTTTTGGTCGCTGATTTTTCCACTTCACCGTCCAGAAGGGTTTTTCTCACAAATGCGCTGCTCGCAGACTTGCCGCAGATTGTGACATTTTCTCTAGAACGCCTGAGAGATTTATGCAAATGTTAGCGTGTGCTGTTCCACGCTGGTGCAGTATTCAAATGTGTACCTGCTGAATTTGGCTGGGGGGCAGGAAGCTGAGCTTTAGGGCAGTCTGATGCTGAGGTCACAACCTGGAAATAGTAATGACAAGTCAGAGAAGCAGTGAACTGCTTCTGCTGCCTCCTGCAGCTCACACGTGTGAGACACATCAGAGGTTAGGGCTCCTTATCCAGGCTGCTGTCTCGTCCATCGCTATTAACAGAACAAAATGTTTCCTTTGAATGTTACAGCTGCATTTGGTTCCAGTATAAATACTAGAGAGGATGGCCAAAAGTAGCAGTGCTATTCTTATCAATACGTTTGTTCTTGAGGCTGTTGCTTTAAAGGTAACGAAGCGTAGCTGTGTGTGTGTAATTTTGAAATATTCCAGGCAATGTTTAGCATTCAGCAAGTTAGCGTGCCTACCTGAGACCTGAGTATATCCACTCCCCAGACTCTGAGGCCTGACCCTGCCTATCTTGCCAGGCCCAAGCAGCAATCGCCCGCACTGCTCATGTCCTCCAGGAAAGCGAGGGAAGTGATGCCCGGTGCGGAACCAGGGAACAGACCCGGGGGCTTCTCCTTACCTGACAGCAGCACAAGCTCTGTGTGTCTTTCACTTTGCAGCTCACCCATAACATGACCTCAGACTCCATTTGGAGACGAATCCTTAACGTTCGGTTTGAACTGGAAGCCAGTTTGGTAACCAACTGAGGTTTTGTCTTTGCACAGTAAGGGTTGCCTGGAGGATGCCTTGTGGCATACTTTCAAAAGGCAAAAAGCAAAACCAGCACAGGCCTTTTTTGGAAACAAACCCCAGCATTTCCCATGGTGTTTCCACATGACCCGCAGCTCTGAACTGCATTTGCTGCCCCAGATGTGCTCCCACATTTCTTGTCACTGAGAGCTGCAGCTCTGTGCCCGCACAGCCAGGCCGTGTTCACTGGGGTATCCCAGAGCAGATGTGCCTTTCTTAAAAATAAACCAAGGGCTTTGCTTAAAGTCATGAGAGACCATTCAGGAGATTGTTTTTCTTTTTAGTTCAGCCCTTTGTGCCTCGGTACCGACAGGGATTTGTGTGGGTGCACAGCAGGATGTGCAGCACAGAGGAGCAGCAGCGCTGAGCAGCCAGTGTCACTGTTCCCTCATTGGAGTCTGGTGATGGATAACCTTTAACACCGCCAACATGCAGCTGTATCAGCTGCCTTAGTTCAGCTGGAGATAATATTTCTACAGAGTGTTACTGGTTTTGAGTTACTTGAACTCCTTAAAAAAATACTTTTGCCTATAGTTTTCTACCAAATATAAGAAACTTGGAAGTGGAACTTCAAGTAGGAGAAGGAAAATGTGGACTTACCTTGCCAAGATGTCGTCAAAACAAAACCGGGGTTTCGGATGTTTAGTCCTCTAACAGTCAAATTTCTTTGTGCACGTACTTGCTCTTAGGATGCAGACATCCATGAACACAGCACAAGTGGATTTAGAGAGCGCTGGTGTTTTGTAAGCAAATCTGTAACTGAAAGATGTCGTTCGCTGTGAGTGGAGAACTCAAACCACAGAGATGACACATTTCCTTTTGGTAACAACTCTGCCATGACACGGTAGAGGGGGAAAAACACCAGCTTGCCCAAATTAGCTCTCAGAACAACAGGAAGTAACGGCAAAAAAAGCCTCTCTGGCAGACGCGTACTCTGCGTCCGTGAAGTTCATCTCCTCAGGTGCCCTGCTCGGGTGTTCACCTCAGATGTTATCAGGAGCAGGGTCCCCAGAAGTGCGTCGGTGCTTGCGGCCTGCGGGAGCCCTTCCATAGCCTAATTTGGATTAGTGACGGGTACTGAGAAGTTCCTTACGTGGTCACAAGCCGCTGTTCCGTTTGATTTTTGATTCATTCTTCCTGGCAGAATTTTGTCTGCTCTGCTGGCTTTGGAGACTTGGTTTTAGGCAAAGGTGCTGTCTACTCCTAGAAAATTCTGAGAATCATTAAAGGAGAACAAAAGGTTCTTAATAGTTATGTGTTATCTGAGAGTTTTTCTGGGGAGGTTATTCTGTAGCCAGATCCTCTGTGCTACTGCGAGGATTGACCATTCGTAGAAACACTCCACCGAGGTTCAAGTGACTGCAGCATACAGCAAATGCAATGAGTTTGAGACCCTTTGAGAAAGGTGGAATGTGGATGCCTAAGTAGCCTTAATTAAGACTTCTGAGATAAAGGTGTTTTTCCACATATAAAAATGGATATAATTTGAATTTCTAAGGAGGTTAAAAAGTTCATTTGAAGGATTTGCGCTTTACTTTTTAGTCGAATAAACCTCCTGTCTGTCTGGAGGTTCTTGGTGGTGGTAGGTTGTGTGACGCTTCAAAGTGAAGTCAAATCCAAGTCGAGCTCCATCGTAGCGGGCACTGACCCTGCCTGCAGCGTGGGCCGGGACGGTCACGGACACCTTCGTGCTGCAGCTGCCAGTGCCGTGCCAGCGCTGGGGATCCATCGTGCTCTTGGAGCCACGGGAAGGACCAGTCTGGTTTGGGGCAGGGGTAGGGCCTGTGATGCACCACGCAAACGTTCGCAGCCTGAGTCTGCAGAGCAACCTCAGCAGTGTCCGTTGTTTCCTCACAGGTTCAAGACTGGCCAGATCAACGGAGATTTACTGATCTACCACGTCCTGCTGACGCTGAAGCCATACTATGCAAAGCCATACGAAATCGTAGTGGACCTCACGCACGCTGGCCCCAGTAATCGCTTTAAAACAGACTTTCTTTCTAAATGGTTTGTAGTTTTTCCAGGCTTTGCGTATGAAAACGTCTCGGCAGTTTTTATTTATAACTGTAACTCTTGGGTCAGAGAATACACCAAATACCATGAAAGGCTCTTGACAGGTTTGAAGGGAAGCAAAAGGCTTATTTTCATAGACTCTCCAGGGAAGCTGGCAGAGCACATCGAGCACGACCAGCAGAAGCTCCCAGCAGCCACCTTGGCCTTGGAGGAGGACTTGAAAGTGTTTCACAATGCTCTCAAGCTGGCTCATAAGGACACCAAAGTTTCTATCAAAGTAAGCTCCTTTAATGCTGCTCCTAGTGAACTGTTACACTTCTGTAAGGGTTTGATTGTGCTTTTATTGTCTCTTAATTCTCCTCTCCCGTCTTGAGGAGAAATCACAACTTATTACTGTGCCTCTTTAGGAAGTACAGAATTTCACACATTTCTGTTTATAGAATTACCAGTGTCAGACTTCTTCTCTCTTTGTACCGTTAACAAATGGCGCTGAACCGTTTTCCTGTTCCCTTCCTCAGGTTGGGTCGACAGCCGTGCAGGTGACGTCGGCAGAACGGACCAGAGTCCTGGGACAGACGGTGTTTCTAAACGATATCTACTACGCCTCTGAAATCGAGGAGATCTGCCTCGTTGACGAGAACCAGTTTACCCTAACCATTGCCAACCAGGGCACGCCGCTCACCTTCATGCACCAGGAGTGCGAAGCCATCGTGCGGTCCATCATCCACATACGGACGCGGTGGGAGCTGTCCCAGCCAGACTCCATCCCCCAGCACTCTGCTGAACATCGCGCTGCTCAACCTGGGAAGCTCGGACCCCAGCTTGCGGTACAGAGCTTTTCAAGTAGTACCAACTCTGATCAAAGAGGGGAATTCTTGCCAGGGTTTTCTTGGTGTTAGCAAATCTGTCTTGAACAAAACAGGTTTTCTTTCACCACAATGTAATAAAATGTACTTATAAGAAAGATGGGGTTTTCTGTAGGGGACATCGCGCTGCTCAACCTGGGAAGCTCGGACCCCAGCTTGCGGTACAGAGCTTTTCAAGTAGTACCAACTCTGATCAAAGAGGGGAATTCTTGCCAGGGTTTT